GCAATTCGATGTCATCTCGTCACGAAAGGTAGAAAAAGCAGGCTCAAAATTACCAAGATATATTTTTTCCTTTGCTGGTATTTTGCCCGGGGATTCGATGTTCCCTGCCCTTTGGAGCCAAAGAAAAGCAAAGAAACAGGATTTAATTCTAGCAAACATTTCATACTTTTTTGTTATTTTTGAAAATGGTGGAAAGGTAACCTATTACCTGCGGAAGCCGTCAAAATGTAGGCGATGTCAGTAAAAACTTATACCATTGGCTAATTTTGGAAGTATTTAATTTGATTGGCAGCTTATGTTCATACTTTTCGTTCGAGTACTTTATGTAATGATATCGAGCTGTCGACTTAGCTTTCCTTACAGTAAGGCTGTGTATGTATGCGCTCAAGAATATTTTTGGGCAACAATTGTACAGTAATTTTTGATTTCAATCATTGCTTGTATAGGCTAATCTAAGGTTAACGAGAGAGATGTTCTGATTCCTAGGGACAAGTAAATAAAATTTGAACTTCTTTAAAAATGTTGGTCAAAATCGAAGATTTTGTGCACAATATTTTGAAGTATCCCTTTCCCAAGTGACAAAAATGTGTTGATCAACACTTTTCCCGACATGATTTGCGCTTTTTCGCAGTTGATGGAAGGAGGGGAGGGAGACAGTAGGAGGTTTATTGGCGACGCTTAAACCTTTGAGTCCCAAATTTTCGCCAAAAAATACCGTTTAACCGTTTAGTCAGGTTTTTTGGCTGCCATGATGCTAAATAAGCGTAAGTTTTACCTGTTTTTCATGTCATGCTAAGAAAAAAAAATTTTTTTCACCAAAAGGAGAGATTTTTCGAGGATTACTTACAAAATTGAGCAATAGTTCAATAGTTCATCGATCAAGTTCTATGTTACCAAAAATGAGCAATATTTCAATTCCGTACATGCGCATAAGCCAAAATTTGCACCTAGAAATGGACCTTGATCAATCATAAGCATAGTGGACCATTTTACAACTGTTTTTACACCAAAACTGATAAGGTGTTTCGATTTGCGACGTGGAAATGTCGATATCTAAACCTGGCCATTGTAAGGAAAGGCCTAGCCTAGTTCTACTATCTGCTTATCACGAATATCTGGCGACATTTAAATTGATGACGTCACAAGTGGTACAAAGAGCACGACCATTAATTACGCGTATATGCGTAATTGGGACTCAAAGGGTCAAGACAGGAAGGTCTCTGCCCAAACAGACACTGTTTTCTAAACTTGCTAAGAAAAACGTCGACTTTCACAGTTAGTGGCTCTCGTTATTATAGATCTTCTTGTCTTTGGATTTCTCTCTTAGCCTGCACGTTGAAGTTTGCGAAGCACCTTTACTACAAACAAGTCGAGCATTTATCATTGAACAGGACAGTGAAGATGTAACGTCGGAACTTGTCTTCATGACAGCGCCAAGCGCGGCAAAAAAGTGCCCCAATTTTGTCAATTTGTGGTAATCGGTATTGACAAATTAATACTTTGCCGACACGGAACAGAAAACTGGGTGCTAGCCACAGGAGGGCTCCTGGTGCTAGTGTAGTACCCGAAGGCTCATGGTTAGTACGTTTGTAAAAAGAGACGGTTGAGAAACTTGTGACAATCTACGGTCAGTCTTGCCACTCGCAGCTTCGGATAAGGTTAATTTTTTTTTTGCTCCAAAAATGTGTAATCGTTACCTGATTTATCTTTCATTCTGTTGTTTATATAATAACCTTAAAAACCCAAAGCGCCACTGCTTTGGTCGGGGCTACACGGTCCCTATTTTTCCTAATACGAGGCTTTGGGGTTAACGTTGCAATCGATGTATCTTTTATCCACTTTAATGTCGTATTGTGTCAATTGAAGCAATTTTTGGGCCTGGCTGACCAACTCGCCCATGCCTCATAACCTTTGAGTGTGTTCGGTTGTGCAGTGAAGGCAAAATTTGAATTTAACTTCGATTCGGGTATACAAGGTTTATTTCTATATCGATTCTAAATTTTGAACAAATGCCTGCAAATCATGTGCTAACTGTAAATCAATGTCAAAGACAAAAAAGGCACTGTCCGGATAAACGCTCCTCATTTGGATATAATGTTAAAAGATTGACGAAACCCGATTTCACTTTTTTGCGACAGAACCTAAGTAAACATTTTCTTGGTTTAAAAGTACTTTCATAAGTTTACGTCATGACATTTTTCACGAACTCGGCCTCAGTTTTATAGGTGACCAATGGTTTTATTTATTTTTTTTTGGAAACTGAATAAAAACAAACTAAAAGAGTTCAATATTATCTATCAAGGGCCTACAAGATAGAGTTAAACGTTAACTGATGGCTCGGAATTTGGCAAAGTGTAATGACGCGGGTTTTTTTTTTTTTTTTTTTTTTACTGATAACTGAGCAATCACCTAAGCTTCACGCAAGTCATCCAAACCCTCTACAAAATAAACATTACATGGCCGCTTGCCGCCTATTCACAAATTTCATCTTCTCTTGGCTCACTCCTAAGAGATGCTATCAGCAGGAAATTATTATTATTATTTTTTTATCTCCAGGCGGTCATGTAATATTCTCTTTTTGTCTTACGCAAAACTTGTTTATTTTGGGTGAAAATGACCTCGTATCCATATCAAACGTTTTACACCAGGCCTCGCTTAGAAAATGAAGACAAAGATGGTCAAGATGCACTAAAATTTGACTTACATAAATGTAATTCGCTGACTGGTTGATTGACGAGTTGATCGATTCGCTCTTTCGGATCCTTTCGGCGTTTCGAGTTTACCTTAGAAAACAACCGTTTAAATATGTATCCAGTCGAGGAAGATATTTCGCGTTGACACGATATTTCCGCTTAACAGGAATGTTTAATTTTCTATTTACAGTTGTTCTGTTCCGTTTTCCGTGCGTTACAGGCCAGCATCAACGTTTGATCCAAGGTGATCATGGTTTAAAGCGATCTAGTTTTCAACACGGGTTGTCGTACGCAAATTTTAAAGCTCACAAGTTTCAGCATCTTCAAGGATCTCTCTTAGACTCTTCTTGTGAAGTAGCCCGGGCCACAGAGTGCAGTTTCGCCTGTGTTGCTAATGCACCCTGTGTTTCGTACAATCTTGCTTTGTCTCCAAACGAAAATGGAAAGCTTCGCTGCGAGCTGCTTAGTGAAGACAAGTTTAGAAGCCCTGACAAACTGACCGACTCACAACAATTTCACCATTACAGCATAAAGGTATTATTGATAATTTGAAATCCAGCTTAATATAACATTTATATTCACTATTGCAAAGAGTTGTTTTACCAACAATGATGTGTGTTTAGTGGGATTTTTTTCTTGTAAAGAAAAGAGGAAAAATGAAATTGGAGGAATAAAATAATAAATTTTATGATCATGATCTAAGTGTCTGTTGCGGGCGAGGTGCAGTCCTCGCGGGAGCTATTTTGAGAGCAAACTCTAGATATGCCGTATGTTATGTTGTCATCTTAAGCCGTTTTAAAACGTAAACAAGTAGTCTGTACGAGAAGAAAACTGCTGTTGACTTTTTACAAATCTCTTTTTTTTTTCCAGATATATTCAAGTTTGATATGTAAATTAGCAAAGTGATGAACTCATCCAACTCTTGATTACATATGAAGAAAAGATTAGAAATGATGTAATTACGCGTGGTGTTTGGCTGTTGGAGACTTTTCTATAATCATATTTTTCTGCATTCTCTGTATACTCGTACAAACGTGTTTCAACAATGCTATACATTTTCATGTTTTTTGTTTTATTGTAGACGCCTTGCTCAAGGAATCGGTGCAAAAATAACGGCAGCTGCATCCCAAATTACGAAGAGGATCAATACCATTGTGTTTGCGCGCCGGGCTATAGTGGTTTTCATTGCACGAGAGGTAAATAATACTAGGATTTTCATTTACAGTCATGCTGTTGTTCAATGGTCCTTTTTCAGTTTTAGCAAGGATGTGGCATTTTTAAAAAAGTAATAAAAACTGTGTTTGTTTTTTATGGTTGTCTTAATTAATTATTAAGAACAGAGCGAACGATAATCAAAAGCGTCATCAAAGAGAGAGTAGTTTTATTTTGCAAAATTCATCAGTGATTCTGGAAGTAAAAACGTTTTATGGTGTGGAATATATTTGAATTTAATTTATGCTGATTATGTCTGCCTTTAATAGAGTAAAACAGTTAGGAAACCTGGCAAAGTTCTCTGTTGCATGTTTTTTTTTTTGGCAATTTGGGAGGTTGATCCGGCACAAAACCCGGCAAAATGCAAAAGGTGTTTATTTACAGGTTAACGCACTCAGCGAGTGAATTATCGGGACTTACTTGTACGAATTCACTAACAATGAACGAGAAATTTCAATACGGCGCGAGGCTTTGCCGAGTGCGGTATTGAAAATTTCGAGTTCATTGTTACTAAACGAGGACAGGTAAATCCCGATCATTTACGAGCAATGAGTGCGTGAACATGTTTATTACTCAAATTGAATACACTGCACAAAGAAGCACTGCATTGAAACCACTATCAGCCGAAGCCATGGCGTAATGACAGTGGTGTGTTGAATTTACACCACGGCTATTACGCCACGAAAATGACGTCCAGGTGGTGGTTTCGTCACAACCCGGTATCACGTGGTACAAATCAGCCTATTAGAAAATCGGAATTCGTAGGGTGTATGAAAGTTGAATAATAAATGTGCTTATACAACTAACCAATATTTTATATCTCTCAGTTACTACGCGCGCAATGAATGGTCAATTTGGCGGGTCGTATTCTACTGTATGGCCCGCTAAAATTTGAAGCTGCATGTTTTTGTCGCCGAAATGTTTCGTAATTTATCGCCAAGTATTCTTGACTTTTACAGCATTAAAAGTTTAAAATTCTCTTTTACTTTAAATTATGTACTAAAACGGGCTAACGACTTCATACATGTAACGATTTCAAATTGACCCGTTTTGCTTTCGACGTGAGTTAGAAATTTGAAGCCGTTCCGCGTAAGTAGAAATCGTTCCCGAACCCGTCAGACACACAGTAGAGATATAATAAATATCTTACTAAGCTCGGGTGCTTTCCATTCAGCCAAATATTCCGGAAACTTCGGGTGGGGAAGCAAATGGAACAGACATTTTCCGGAATTTGATTCCGTAATTTTGGATGTACCTCGCGTTGTTGGCCTAAAATTCTGTAAAATCGGAATAACCAAAAAATTCCGTTCCACTCGACCATTCCTGCGCGGGCCCAGTTTTTCCGAACGCGGAAATCGAACTCAACATGGCTGATCTTCAAGCTTCTCAATATCAGTGCTCGACATGTTTTCTATTTGACAGACGACTTATTGCAGTGGATTGGCCACAACAAGCTGTAGTAACTATTGCGCAAATACATGTAAGCTGCGTGAAACGACCGTGGGCAGTGAACAGCTTGCCTCGTCATTCGAAAGCGACTCTTGAACTCGTCAGAAAAATAAAGAGGTATATCGTACCCTTAATGTAGTCGCAGACTCCTTTTAAATTCCTACGCATGTAAGAGCTAGCTACCCTGATAAAAGTTATATCGTCGTTCTCACCTAATACATCGTTAGTTTCAACTTCAGAGTCGTAGAGCAACTCCAAAGCAAGTAAAAAAGGTCAGTCGGCCTTTTTTTTCGTGGGGAAAAACTTGGAACGTGATGGCCTGGGACGTGTTGGTCCTACCAACCGGAAAATACTGTTCCATTCGTCACATGGATTACCAGAAATTTTAAACGGGAATATTTGGTCGAATAGAACGCGCCCCCGTCTTTTCGGGCCGTACTGTGAGTTACGGATTCTCGTCTTTTCCCCTTCGATTTATGGCCCAAGCGCCAAGCGCGCGAGCCATAAATCGACGGGGAAAAAACTCGGTCCGTAACTTACAGTGCGGACCTCGAACTCGGGTAGTAAGAGGTATGAAGCATTGCAAATATGTGATTTATGCATAGTCTATGAGCATAAAACAAAAGATGTGCAGGCTCAAGGACCTTCCAACATAAATCTTAGTCTGTTTGTTTGCTTCTTTGGTGTTTACCAGCCTTCCTAACCATTTTCCTCTATTAACTATGGTTTTCTAGATAGCATTGAAATATGCTTTAATTCTACAGCTTTAAATTTTCGTGGAAAATACATTTGACTTCTCAGCTTATACGATTTAAACAATGACAGAGTGTGTTGCCCTTGAATCTATACTATTTAGCTTGAGCAAAATCTAAGATCATTGTCCAACTTTCATCTTTGTTGCTTTTAGGGTGTGGAGGTCCCTTGGGAATGGAGAACCTTCAAATAGCAGCAGCACAGATTTCAGCGTCTTCTCAGTTTGATGGAAATCATCTCCCAAGCCACGGAAGGCTGCATTTCAAGGGTGGCCACGGAGCATGGGCCGCAGGTGCGAGTGATCCTAATCAGTGGTTTCAAATCGATCTTCGTGTTGAGGCAAATGTCACCTTTGTGGCAACTCAAGGGAGGTACGGTAGCTCCGGGCAACGGGTGACCCAGTATAAGTTACAATACAGTAAGGATGGACTTTCGTTTCAGGTTTATAAGCAGAATGGAGAGAACTCAGACAAGGTGAGAAGAATTGTGACCAAACAAATAAAAAAAAAAAGAACAACAACAAAAAACAAATTAAAAAAAATACAGACAGGCAATCAAGGAACCAGTGCCGGACCTCGGGTTGGGGTTTAGGAAGTCAAGAAAACAAAGTATCAGACATACCCAGTTAAGACATTAAATAGTGACACTTAAAACCGCTTTTCAACTGAGATGAAAGGCCCTGAAAACCATACTCTGTTCAGCGACCCGTCCCCGCTTACGCGACATAAAGGAAAGCCCCCTTCACCGTCACGGGTGTTGGACAGACTAACTATGCTCATCGTGTCTTGAAAAATCACAATTACAAGGATTGTAGAGTTAAATAATTCACATATCTCATCTCCAGAAGAATCAGTTTAAGTGATTTCGCTTCTATCCTTCAATTGAGACAAAATTCACTTTTGCAGCAACCGAGAAAAACGCTTTTCCGACCACCCCTTGAGTCAACGAATAATTTCAATTAAAATTACGAAACAAAGAAAGAAGAAAACGGAGAGAAAAATTGGGCTGGAAGAGAATTTATTTATTTTGCTGTCTTCGAATATTACTTATTTTACATGAATTTATTTATGCCATTCTATAAAAGGTTATTTTTGTCCTAAAATCATGAAGAAACTTCTTCTAAAATCTCGAAGAAACGCGTGGGAGCGCGCAGATTTAAATCCAAACCTAATAATTCTGTGCTTTCTTTCATACTCTATACCGACTTAAACCACCCATAAACGACTCCGGCTACACAAAACGAGTCAATATAGACTCCCACTCGTCTAGAAGGTATTTTATAACTAGCTTGTATTTACGTTTATTTTACTTATCTTTAGGTGTTTGTTGGAAACAGTGATCAAGACACCGTGGTAAAACATCCTTTGATTCCTCCAATCGAAGCGCGATACATCAGACTGATACCCACAGCATGGAATCACCACATCTCCATGAGGATAGAGCTCTACGGATGTTTTGGTAATTAGCCTTCGGTTTAATTCTCAAAAATTGCCAATTGATAAATTTCTGTACCTGCTTCACG